AAGCCTCTGGGGACATAGTCTGGACATCTGCATCAAATTCCAGGTCAATCCCTGTGCCTGGGGCAACCGTGTCCGAACGACCGATTGCATACTGAACTGCAGTGTCATCATTTTCCATTCCTGAAAGAAATCAAAATTAAGGGCATAAAAAAATGTTTTTATAAAAGGCCAAGACAAAGTTCTGGATCTCAACTAGAAAGATGTTCATCAATGTCAACTTACTATTTGTAAGAGTTGCATGACACCTAATGCTTTACAAAATTACTTATACCATCTGTGCTATTCAAGGCTCACAATGTTGTGAGGCAACATGGGTTGGTGGAAGGTTAGGTTTCAACAAAGTCATTTCCCCAGGTTCCCGCCTCCAAGGTTTATTACTTTAACTACAACTATAGAAATGCAAAAAAAACAAAAACAAACAAAAGAAACCAGAACAGTTCTCTAGTTAAATTATCCATTTTTTTCCCATTCCAAATTTTAATATTTTTAGGGCTGAGATCTGTTAGTACCAGCTTTGAAGCTCATTAAGTCAGCTATGTTGTTAACATTAAATTTAGCAAAATGTTTTTGAAAGAATGTTGACATTTAAATAAACTAAAGTTTATCAAGAATTTTTTTTATTTCAGCATATTATGGGGGTACAGATGTTTAGGTTACGTATGTTGCCCTTGCCCCTCCTCCCCCCCTAAGTCCGAGTTTCAAATGTGTCCATTCTTCAGGTGGTGCGCATTGCACTCTTTGTGTATGCAAATACCCGTCCCCTCCTCCCTCCTCCCCCCTCCCCCCTGCCCAACATCCAATAGATGTTATAAGAATTTGCATTTTAAATTTAAAAATAACTTCAAACATCATACAGACAATATGTTGACTAGTACAGGAAAAATCAGAAATACAGATGAACAAGAAAATAAAAACAATCTCAAATTTTACCAACCATCAATAATTACTGTTAACTTGGGTATGAATTCTTCATACCTTGTCCTATGCAAACAGTTGTTTAATTTTTCAAAACAAAAACAGACCCACACTGTGTAACATGTTGTGACTTACTTGTTCATTTAATCATAAAGAATAAAAATCTGTCCAGGCTATTAAATACTCATCTGTATCATTATACTATTCAATCTTATGGATATTTAAAAATCTATAGCTAATCCCATATTTTGGGCATTTCAGTTTATCCATTCTATTTCAGGATAAATTCTCACAATTGGCATTGCCAAGCCAAGGGTATAAATGTTTTTGGCAACTCGGCATGTTACTGAGTGCTTTCTATTATCAGCCAGGTAGACACTGGGATATACTTACTGTTCAACAAGACAAGGTCCATCTGATCCTTACTGAGCTTGCAGTCTTTTTTGGGGAGGTAAAGATTGTGTGGGGAACAACCCAAACCATAAAAGAAATTTCAGAGGGATTCTGTTACCAAGGAAATGGAATCACTGTGTTAGAGTAATGGCGGAAGTGTGGGGAAGAAACGTGGGATTATTTTAGAAAGGGTGAGGAAGACTCAGATGGCATTTGAGCTAAAATTTGAAGGAAGTCAGTGATACAATGACCGAGTGATCCAGATAATGCATATAATGACCCTGAGGCTAGAACCAGCTTAAGGTCTACATAATCTGGACTTCACTTACCCCTTCGATATCCAAGCACTATAACTGGTATACACTAGGCACTAAAACTAGATAAAAGTAATCCTGAAAAATTCTGCTGTGTGAAAAAATCTAAAACCTCACAATGGGACCTATGAATTACCACCCACAAGCTACCTAGTTTGATGAGATGCAGGAGCTGCTCCGAGGGTGCACAAACAGACTGAGGCTTGATTTCATTGATGAGGCCATTAGCAATGCTGATGTAGCCATCATAGAGCAGCTGGCTAATGATCAGCTTGTAGAGCTGCTGGCGGTCCTTCAAGCCCACTTTGGTTCTGTACATCTTCGAGAAGATGACAATTTCCCTGCCAGCTGCAAGAAGGGAAAACAGATGGATGGTAAAGGACGGAGGCACTAGTAAATCACAGAAGCAACACAGGACTCTTTGGTCACACTTAATCTTGCACGGTTTAAATCCCATCTCTACAAGTTGTATTATCTTTGGTCAGTGACCTCATTTCTCTGAGCTCACGTTCTTTAGCTGTTAAGTCACCAGAAGTTAAACAAGACGGTGCATATAAAGCATTGAGCACAGTGCCTGGCACACAGAAATTATTCAAGTCATGCTAGCCAATATTTACAGCAGAATCCCTCATCAACTTTTCTTCTCTGCCAGCTACCCACCTGTAATTTTTATTCTTTATTGCTATCCCAGACCCTTCCATTTCTTCTATTAAACAGTGACTGGTGTTTCCAATATGCAAGACAGCTGCTATTCTGTCAATGTCCAGACTACTGTTTCCAGTAGTTGTATGTTTACTAATGAGTTGTATGTTTACTAACGTCTGTTAGGTTCATTCTTAAAACCTGTTTTAAGGCAACTGAGCTTGTTATTGTAATTACATAATTTAGACAGTAAATCAAAGTAGGAGGGCAAAAAAAGCTATTGTACTGTGAACACTAAACTAAGTTGAATGCATTGGAAAGATTCAAAGGTGAACTACTTAATAAAACATTGCCAAATAAGATAAGGCCAAAACAGTAACAAAAATGGGAAAAAAATGTAAAAATCTGGAAGGACTGTGTACTCACTGATTTACAAGTGTCTAAGTTCTCCTTCAGTCTTAGAAAGTGAAACAGAAAACTACAGATGATAGTATCTGGTTTATGCAAAAAAGAACTCCAACTGGTGGATGTGAATGGATAATTTGATTATCAAAAATCAATGTCTATATGTATGTTTGGACAGATATTGAAAGGCTGCAGGTGTCCAGAGACAGCAATAAAGAATAAAAGTGAACTCAGAGCCTGAGTTCTTACACACTGTGTGATACTGATAGGTGGTAATTATAATAGCTAACACTTATTAAACACGTCCTACAAGCCAGATACCATGCTAAGCACCTTATAAGCATTAGCTCATTGAATAAAATCATTCCGTGTATTCAAGTACATGTACAAGCAAATGTACGTAAACCTACACTTGTGTAGAAAACACTGGGACACAATAAAGATGAAGCAGGCTTGAAGAGGTTAGGACACCTACTCAAGGAAAACTGTGGCTGAGTAACTCATCTGGTTTAAAGTGGCTGCCAGAACTGCCCACTCCAGAGCCCAGAACTTAACCACTGATGGAATTCAGGAATGCCATCCCAAAATATGATTTTTTGGTATGTTGATAACTTTGAACTGAGGGCATTTGGGGAACAGAATGCAGGCAGAGGCTTTCTCTGAGCTCCTCTTACCTGCCTGAAGATGAACCCTCCAAAAAAACTTCAATTGTCACAAACTGAATCCTTATTAACCACGGAAGATTAATTCGAATCACAGGAGAGGGGACTGGAGGTTGACAGCACCCATACAAATGACCACCTTTTCTTCTGAGGGCTGCTCTGAGACAACTTTCATTACCTGAGAGAATTTCTATCTGCATAACAAAACCACCTTTATTCACCATACGTTTCCTCCCTTACCCTCCCAAAACTAGTGTCCACACTGCCTCAGAAACGCCAACCCACTATTCCTGTCAGTAGCTCAGGGTGCTGTATAAGCTTCAATCCTGACACTTCTTAAGAGATTCAGATTTTGTGGGACTCTCATACATAATTAAGTTTGTTTTTTCCCTACAGACAATGTTTAATAGACATAAGAAATGAAAGATTCTGGGTTAGCAATAAAGAATAAAAATCGCCGACGGGTAGTTTGGCAGAGAAGAAAAGTTGAGACATTCTACTGTAAATATCGGCTAACGTGACTTGAATAATTTCTGTACGCCAGGCACTGTGATCAATGTTTTACATGCACCATTTTGTTTAACCTCCAGTAATTTATTTTAACAGTTAATCTGTCTTATGTCAATTGAATTCGTAACAATTCCATGACAAGGAACCTAGAAGGATGGAGGGCAACTATTTTTCACTCTCCTTGCCACTATTCCATCCGGTCTCTTCACTCTTGCCGGCGCATCATGGTGTGTACAAAGAGATTTTTCAAAACGTGGTCCAGCCCCCACTTCAACTCCCATAGAACGTTCACTCGCCAAGCTAGCAAAAGCCTAATTATCACCCCCAATTTGCAGGCCAGGGCACCAAAGCACGAGGACAAGAACCCGACCCAGGACCACTCGGAGTTGGAAGGGGGACCAGGGCCAGAACACAGACTCCCCGTCACTAGAAGCGCCGCGACCATCCCGATGCAGAAGTGAACTAAGGATTGGGTGGGAGTGGGAGGGAGGCCCTTTGAGGAAATGGAAGGGGTGTGCAGGCCAAGCCTGGCAACTAGAGAAACACGAACTCTGGACGTATGCCACCCTGCTAACTCTCCACTCTTCCCGCTTCGCCCCAGTCCTGCCTGTGGTCTTCTAAAGGCCCCCGCCGACTGCACCAGCCACTCTCCTCGTACCCCCGGACCCTCTTACCAGCTAGTCCGACTCCCTCGGCCTCCCGCTCTGTCCCAGAAAAATGGAGGCGCGAATTCTGCCCAATCGACCGCTCCGAGCGCAAGTTCACTGCGCACACGCACAGGGCGCCACGCCGAGCGCTGCGCTATCGATAGGTCCCAATCTCTCTTGCCCTTCTCGCCATCTTACTTACTGGCACGTTCAAAAGGTTCGTTTACTTCCTCCGACTTTATCTCCTATGCGACAACCCTGACGTCAGGGAGCTGTTGTCTTGTCTCATGGACAAATGCCCGATCCCGGAGAGCACCGCGGGCTCTAAAACTGTCACGGGTCGGTCGGGCCGTTGACTCCACCACTTCCGGGGTCTTAGGGAGCGAGTGCGCCTGCGCTCCGTCTGCACCTCGGAACGGGACTCAGTCGCAGGGTTCTTTGGCAACCAATCACAAGGCAGCCTCTCTCTAGCTCAGGCCAATCAGCTCTCTGGTTAGAGGGTTTAACTCCTATTTAAAAAGAAGAACCTTTGAATCCTAACGGCTGAGCTCTCGGAGGACTTGGGGCCGTGGGTCGGAGGTAGGAGTCAACTGGTAGGCTGAAGGGGATACCTCTGTGTGGCAGAGGAGGGGCGGCCGGCTCCGGTGGCCTTTGAGCCGGTGGTAGGGCTGCGGGCCGGTAGAGGTAAGGAGCGGAGCGACAAGTCCTCCTCCGGTCCCTGCGTCCCTGGGCCCCGGCCCATGGCGTTCTCCTTTGCCCTCCCAGCACCTTTCCAATTGCTCCTGGGTGCCGAGGCGCCCTAGAAGATGCCACTTGTTAATATAGCTAGAGGTGGAAGGGGATTGTTGAGTGTCGTTGGCGCTCGGGGCGTGGGTGTGCTTTCTGATTGGAATTTGTATTCGGTGATCACCAGGGTAAGAAAATGTAGGTTGTCTTTGCTTTCTTGGAGTTTACATTGCAGTGGGGGTGGGGAGACAGACAACGAGCTAACAGGATAACCTGCAATTGTGATGGGTGTTATGAAGGAAATAAAACAGTAGTGTGGCTTCCTGGGAAGGCTCTTATCTTGGCTGGATGAGCGGGTGAATTAACGAACGAGAACCTCTTCGCAGAGGCCTATCCGGGCTTCTCAAACCGTGGACCTTGGAGCGGTTATGTCAGCATTACTTGAAGACCTTGCTAAAAATTTAGCCCTATCTAGGGCCTAGTAAATCAGAATTGCTTCGAGATAGGACCCAGGCGTCTAATTAACAAGCTCTTCAGGTGATCCTTGTACTTCATTGAGAGCTAATGATGCAGACCAGTACATACCAATCACCTGGGGATGCTGACGTGCAGAATCTGTTTTGTTAGATCTGGGCCTGGGTCTGCATTTCTAACAAACATCCTGGTGAGGTAGAAGTAGCTGCTAGACTGTTCTAGATTAATTACTAACTGTTCTAGATTGTTAACATCTCTCCCTTTTCCTTAACCTCCTTTGTTCCTTGAGTTAAACGTTTTTCAGCAACATACTTCCTCATTCCTCCCCTTCATCTCTGCAGATATTCACGAGGAAAAGGATCTGAGAGAAAAAAAAATGTATAAACCTCCTTCTGTGTTACTAACCTAACAGCTTTTCTATTAAAAATAGTAGGATCTTTGGCTTGAACTGAATGGATCCCATGAAGGTCATCTGGTTCCTGAATCTGGTTGCAAATCATAATTGTCCAAAGAGCAGTCTTCCTGCAGTCTTCTGGGGCTCTCTCCAGAATTCTGGATCAGAATCTTATTCCATTCTGCTTATTATTCAATTTACCTAGTAAAAAAAGTAAACTGGGGCTTCTGTCAGAAGAATGGTGAATAAATGTTGTTAGGCCTATGTGATCTCGTTAGTCTGCTCCTTGTAACTGTTAGGGAAAGTGAAGAAAGTATTAAAGCATGTGTGAAATTAACATTTGGCTAATACAAACGTGCATTTCCTTTTCCTTTTTACTACCCCACTGTTTTTTATAAGGGGTCCAGTCTCTTTAGTCCCAGTCCTGTCTTCATCTCTTCACTGTGGAGTTTTTGCTTATTTGTAAAATGGATGCGAAAACATGGGCCTGGGGAGTTCTTTCTTTTGGATTCTAGAATTCAGAAAGCACCTGAGTAAGAAAGGTTTCTGCTTTCTTGGTGGTCTACCTACTGGACAGGTTCCTGTGCCTGACTCACAGTATGGGCTTACTAAATGTTATGAACTGTTTTTGTTATTGATTTCCTTTTGCAGTGGATTGATTCATTCCTAAACTACTGGTGTGCATGTTATGTGCTAGGCATGTTATATACTAGGTTTTAGGGTGGCAACAATGAACAAAATGGGACTAAGTCCTTTCACAGAGCTTATTTCTAGTCTGAGCAGGTGGCTGGATATCTGACTCTGGGGAGATAGGCAGTAAACAGATGCACATGATGTTCGTGTGAGATATTAAGGACTATGGCGAATAATAAGGGAGAGAGGGTTCTGGAGGGGGGCATTTGATGGGAGACCTCAGTGAAATGAAGGACTGAGCTACGCACCTGGGGGAGGGGCCTACTAGGTAGAGAGAGCAGAAAGTGCAGGGTACCTTTGGCAGGGGACTTGTTTGAGGAGGGAAAGGAGCCTGTGTGGCTGGTGTGCAGTGGTTGAGAAGAGGAGATGCAATCAGAGTTGGTCAGGTCCACATTCTATGAGATTTCATAGACCTGTCTGTGCAGGTAGGAGTTTGAATTTTTTTGCTTCAGCTGGGGAGTCATGGGGCCTTCCGAACTAAGGACCAACACTTGTTAATGAGATCACTGGCTGCAGTGCTGAGAGTGGACCATCCTGGGGCAAGGGCGGAAGTGGGGAGACCACTGGGAGCCTGTTGGAAACAATCCAGTAGAGAATAGTGGTTTGACCAGGTGATGGTGGTAGAGGTGGAAAGCAGTGATTTTGAAGGTAGAACCTACAAAATATGCTGATGGATTAGATGTGGAGTTTGAGAGAGAGAACTGTGTAAAGGATTATGTCTGAGCAACTGGCAGGATGGGTTTACCATCAACTGAGATGGGGACGTCTGTGAGAATAGATTTGGGGAAGTGGGAATGGGGAGTGATCAGGACTTCAGTTTGGGACATGTTAAAATTGAGATGCCTCTCAGATAACCAGTGGCAGTGTTGTGTAGAAGGTAGGAAATTTAAGTCTGGAGTTCAGGGGAGAGGTCTGGGCTGGAGATGGATATTTGGGAGTCATCAGCCAGTGGATGGTATTGAAATACCAGTGGATGGTATTGAAAGCCAAGAGACTGGATGAACTCACCTGGGGAGTGAGTATAGATAGAGCAGTTCTAGGCCTGAGCTCAGGGCATGCTATGAGCAAGGAGAGGAAAGTGCAGAGGAGAGAAGAGGTTCTGCTTTGGATGTGTTAGGATTGAGGTGCCTGGCAGACATTTCTGGGAGATCCTGAGCAAATACTTGGATATCCGAGTCTGGTAGTCAGAAGAGAGGTTAGGGCAGAGGATGCATTTTGAGTTATACTGATAAAAGACATTTAGAGCCAAGGCACTGGATGATGTGGGTCCCAGCAAATGGTGTAGATGGAGAGGCAGAGGGTCCAAGACTCATTCTTGCGTCACCCCAGACACGCAGATTGGGAAAAAATGAAGTGAATCCAGCAAAGCAGGGTAAGACAGGACAGCTAGTGAGGTGGGAGATACACCTGGAAGCTAAGTGAAGAAAGAGCTATAAGAAGTGGTGATCAGCCTTGTCAAATTCTGATGAGAATGCAAGTAAGGTGAAGGTGGAATTGAGCTTTGGATTTGACACAGTAGGCATCTGAGTCTGCTGCAGTGGTGGGGGGAGAAAAGCCCAGTGGGAATGGGCTCAAGGGAGGGGGGAGCAGTAGGGATGATGAGTGTAGACAGTTCTTGGTTTTGCTGTTGGAAGGGGAGGTGAGAGATGGGGTCATGGCTTGTGGCAATTACATAGAGGAATTTTTAAGGTAGCAGATATGTGTTCTAGCAGCTGCACACGGATGGGAGTGACCCATTAGAGAAGAGTGGGTGGAGCAGCAAGATGAGTCCATTGAAGAGTGAAGTCTGAGTGTTTGGAGGGTGGAGGGGTCAGCCTGTAGGAACAGCCCACACCTGTTCGTCCTGATCAGATGGGAAAGCGCTCCACCCGCATCACCTTCATTTGGACAAAAAGTGTGAAATCCTGTGTTGGTGGAGGCCTTTTCATCAGGGAGCCATAATTGTCATAACAACATCATTTTGAAGTAGGTGGTTTTTAAATTAAAGGTTCTTTTTCCTTTTCAGGCATCATGGACAAAGCTAAAGAAAACTGCATTTCAGGACCTGTTAAGGTAAATTGAATAATCTGTAATCTTACAAAACTCTCATGGAGATTGGAATTCTGCCCACTTTACTTTGGATTGTATCTTTAGATTCCCTACTACACTTCTGTTTATGAATTAGTCACTTTTCTTGGCATTCAGTAAAATTTTGCTGATTCTGCACTGTAACTTTTTTGTTCTGCTTCGTCTTATAGTTAGCTATTTCAATATCTATATTCCTCCACTGTATGTAGGATAATAGTAATAGTGTACCCAACATGAGCCCAAACTTGTCTGTACTTTCTCGTTTCAGAAATTAACTTTTTTGGCATAGCTTTTTTGGTCATAATTCAGGGAGTGATAAATCCAGAAGGATGAATGTCAAGTGGCATTTCAGTGAACGTTTCTTGAGAACCTACTTAGAGCCAGGTTCTGTGTCAGACGCAGGGATTACGATGGTGAAAACACCTGGTCCCTGACTTGGAAGAACTTAGAGCCCTTTGGAGAGACGTGTGAACCAATACCATGCCTTATAATACAGGTTGAGTATCCATTCTCAGAAATGCTTGGAACCAGAGTGTTTTTGGATTTTGGAATATTTGCATTATACTTACTGGTTGAGCATCCCAAATCTGAAAAGCCAAAATCCAAAATGCTCCAGTGAGTATTTTAAGTGGCGAGTGTCATAGCTCAAAAAGTTTCAGATTTTGGATTTTTTGATTTGGGATACTCATATGTTTAGGACCTGAGTAGTCCTGAGGAGGGGTGCTTAATTCAGATGAGGACAGATTGAAATCCAGGAATGGTTCCCTGGCTCTCAGCATTTAATATTTGTGGAGCACTGGGAATGCTCTAAAGATTCGTTAATGGAAGTAACTCCCAGGTTTTTTTCCCTTGTAGGAAATCAGCATAAGAATATATATATATTAACTTGGTTTGAGTTTGTTTTTAGAAGTCTCCCTCTTCAAATAAGTGGATACTTTTTTTATTGCCTAGAAGTTTAAAATGACCACTTAAAAAAGGATACCTTGAGTCACTATTTGATTCTCAATTCCTGTGATGAAGTTCCTTTAAAAAATTGTTCTACATTTAAAATGGTTTCATTTATTTGTCGCTGCCTCACTCTACCGTGTTGCGGATGCTGTGCTAATTTAATTACAGAAGTAATTGACTCTGTATTTGGAAGTCTTCCTTCCTCTTTTCGTAAGGCACTTACGCCAACGAGCTGGTGATGGTCCTCCAGGCTTCAGTTTCCAACACTTGCCCCTCATGATGGGCTGCGGAAGCTGAAGGAACCCTCACCCCCACTCCATTTTAGTTTGATTAGCTCAGGCTCTTAGAGTTAATATTTAAGCTTATAATACACGACTTACAGGCATGTAAGTAATACATCTTAGTAATAACTTTAAAAGCCTACATTTGTTTCCTCTCTGTCCAAGTTTTTTTTGCTCAAGTCCATTTTGTAATTACTTGGAAAATGAAACATTGGTTAGTAATAGTAAAAGTAATAAGCTTATTGTGGAAAATCTAGCACATACCAAAATTTAGCCTGGTTTCTAAAACTTCTTCACTTGAAGATAACTACTGTTGAATATTTTGATGTATTTCTTTCAGTCTTTTTTCTCAACATATGTATTATCAAAGAAATTTCAAAGTAACTGGGATTTTGGTATAAAGTTTTGCATCGTAGCTCTTAGGAGTAGGGGGTGGAGGATAGAAGAGAAGAACAACTGGGGTGAGGAGTTGGGGGTGGAGGTATCATTCAGGTATTCCTTTCAGCCATGTACTAGCTACATCCTCTGGAATTGCTGATTAAAATAGCTTTCCCCCTCCATGTATTTCATTATTTTGTTATACTAGAAAATTAACTGTGTAATTCTTAAGATAGTCATTTTCTTTCGTGAAGACGATAAAGTTTATTTTCCTTTCCAACCTAGGCCACAATTCCACTTGGTGGTGGTCCAAAACGTGTTCCAGTGAATCCGCAATTTCCCTGTCAGAATCTGTTATCTGCAAGTAGTGGCCAGGCTCAGCGTGTCCTGTGTCCCTCAAATTCCTCCCAGCGCTTTCCTTCACAAGCACAAAAGCTTGTCTCCAGTCACAAACCGGTTCAAAATCAGACACAGAAGCAATTGCAGGCAAACAGCGTACCTCATCCTGTCTCCAGGCCACTGAATGACATGCAAAAGAACAAGCAGCCCCAGCCATCAGCACCTGGTAAACTAGCTTTTTTGAGACTCATTAGATAGTTGTTTTGTGTAGTTGTTGCTAAAAATATAGACTTGCATTCGTTGTTTGGAGCCCTAGCTTTTATGTCTATTGAGGATGGGGAGGAAATGAGATGTCAGGTTGAAGTATCAATGTCTACCGTGGGCCAGGCCTGTGCTAAAGATACAAACCTGATCCCCACCTTCTTGGAAGAGTTGGGCAACCGGGGAGAACACAGTATTGATCCCATGTCCTTCTGATTGCTTATTAGAGGGTCTGGGTGTAGGGCCCGTGTAGCAGGTACATCGAGGAACAAAACTTCTGAAGTTTTGGCGCGTGGGGGGAAATCCTGAGAAGTGGTTGAACTGAGGTAGGCGGAGGCGAGGTCACCGTGGGCACAGCTGGCTGTGTTAAGGAATGAGGCTTCATTTCTGCAGCATTGGGAAGCTGCTGCAGGTTTTTTGCACAGAGGAGACGCTTTGCCTTTTAGAAAGCTTACTTTGTATATATCGATTGAATTGGAGAGTAGCAGTGCCAATCCAGGAGTACCAGATAAGCAGGAAGTTGAGGTCAAAGATGACAATGACCTGACCTGGGCGGAACAGGGAGGATGTTAAATGCTTACACACAGCGGGCTCTGAGATCAGGGCTTCCTTCATCCACGTTGTGTCATTCAGTCCTCGTAACCACTTTATGAAGGTTAATAACTGAGTTATTAACTCGGTAAGAATGCCAAGACTCGGAAGCAGTCAGTTTATCCAAAGACAGAGCTAGGATGGAGAGGTGCATACAAATGTGAGAGCTCACTTAAGATGTAGACTCAGTAGAACTGGACAATAGATTATCCTGTGCGTAAAGAGGAGTTAGGGATGGTGGTTATATTGATATTAACTGAGATAGTGAACAGTGAGGGAAGAAAACCAG